GGTGTCCCCCAGGGGCGGAGACCAGCCGCCCCCCCGCCGTGACGTCGATGCTCATGATGTTGCTGCGCGAATGCGCGGTGATGTCATCGCGCATGCGCGGTGGCCTTATTGACGCCTGCCGGCGGCCATCTTGGAGAGAGAGGAAGGGACGTTCACCTGGCGGGATAAGATTTGCCGCCAGGTCCTCTCCTCTCTCCTGAAACTGTCGGGGTCTCAGTCCATAACTGAGTGCCCGAGTTTTCATAGGGGGCGACACCAAAATGACTGTCAGTCATTTTGGGGTCACCTGTCCAATGGTGGCAACCGGGTGTTCGCCAGTTAGGAAAGAAGCATCGCATCCCAAATCTGCTCTGCTGGAGGACGCTGCTCCTTCCTCTATCTAACTCTCCTCTCCTGAAATACTATGCACTGCTGGAGGACTCTGCTCCTTCCATTATATAACTCTCCTCTCCTGATATACTCTGCTCTGCTGGAGGGCTCTGCTCCTTCCTCTATCTAATGCTCCTCTCCTAATATACTCTGCTAGCTGGAGGACTCTGCTCCTTCCTCTATAACTCTCCTCTCCTGATATACTCTGCTCTGCTGGAGGACTCTGCTCCTTCCTCTATATAACTCTCCTCTCCTGATATACTCTGCACTGCTGGAGGACTCTGCTCCTTCCTCTATCTAATGCTCCTCTCCTGATATACTCTGCACTGCTGGAGGACTCTGCTCCTTCCTCTATATAACTCTCCTCTCCTGATATACTCTGCACTGCTGGAGGACTCTGCTCCTTCCTCTATAACTCTCCTCTCCTGATATACTCTGCTCTGCTGGAGGGCTCTGCTCCTTCTTCCATCCAACGCTCCTCTCCTAAAAAAATTCTCTTTTCTCCCTCTTATCCCATGCATTGTTTATTTTTTACACAGCAGACGCAAGACAACAGAGATCACACACAACCTCTGTACGGCATACAACAGAGGAAATGACATGGAATGTAACACTTGATAATATATTGTATTGCAGACTTTGCTGTATTCTCTAGCCGGTCACCCGATCACATTTCCTTTACATATTCATTTCCATGTGACCCGACCAAAACACGGGCTCCCAATATCTCCTGTCTTGCCTTTATATAACTCTCCAAAAGGAGTATACGGAGCGTTAATAGAGCATTATTTGTGGTCTGGATGATGTGGTGCGTGTGCACACGGAGGTGTATCACTGGGAAGCACTTCACGTCGGAGTGAATCAAAAGCAGTCACAGTGGATTATGGATCTCTTGGTTCAGATGAATGATTTGTGAATCATTCTGTAATGATCACGTTTCCTCGCAGGTCTATGACATATATTCTATGGACACGATATGATGTTATTGCATTTGGTGGAGTATTTGATGTGTATTGTGACTTACATTGAATGAATGGAGAGCACTTCTATCTGATAATCACAGAACAAGGTCTATCGGAGGGCTGGAGATTGCGCGGTGTATGTTATTGTTTAAAGTGGGTGGAGGAGTCATTTAGCTCCCTTTTCACTGCTGAGGTCATGTAGGGTGGGATATAGTTGGGATATCGCCGTAAGCGCGGATAATCACCTGTGTAGTGTGCTGGAGGACTCTATTCCTTCTTCTATCCAACTCTCCTCTCCTGGAATACTCTGCTCGCTGGAGGACTCTGCTCCTTCCTCTATCACTGTCCTCACCTGGAATACTCTGCACTGCTGGAGGACTCTGCTCCTTCCTCTATCCAACTCTCCTCTCCTGGAATACTCTGCTCGCTGGAGGACTCTGCTCCTTCCTCTATCCAACTCTCCTCTCCTGGAATACTCTGCTCGCTGGAGGACTCTGCTCCTTCCTCTATCCAACTCTCCTCTCCTGGAATACTCTGCTCGCTGGAGGACTCTGCTCCTTCCTCTATCCAACTCTCCTCTCCTGGAATACTCTGCTCGCTGGAGGACTCTGCTCCTTCCTCTATCCAACTCTCCTCTCCTGGAATACTCTGCTCGCTGGAGGACTCTGCTCCTTCCTCTATCCAACTCTCCTCTCCTGGAATACTCTGCTCGCTGGAGGACTCTGCTCCTTCCTCTATCCAACTCTCCTCTCCTGGAATACTCTGCTCGCTGGAGGACTCTGCTCCTTCCTCTATCCAACTCTCCTCTCCTGGAATACTCTGCTCGCTGGAGGACTCTGCTCCTTCCTCTATCCAACTCTCCTCTCCTGGAATACTCTGCTCGCTGGAGGACTCTGCTCCTTCCTCTATCCAACTCTCCTCACCTGGAATACTCTGCTCTGCTGGAGGACTCTGCTCCTTCATCTATCTAAAAGGTGGCCATACACCTTACAACCATCACACGACTTCGTTGTGCGATGGTTGTAAGGTGATTAAAAGTTTGTACGATCTGCCCATCTTGGACAGGCAGATCGTACTTGCGATCATTGCCAGTTCTCCCCGCTGAGGGGAGGGCTTGCAGATGATTGCAATGGTTGCACTGCAGGCAGTGTGCCCTTGCGCACCTCGGCCCGTGCGGCTTTCGTCTTGCGATCGCGCTACCAACCCGGCGAAAATCGTACAATTTCCAGCGGGTTTTCTAATGTGCTCGTTATACGAAAATCGTGCGACCGTACAGTAAATGCGGTCGCACGCTGCCCATACACCTTACGATTATCGTACGATCGCTGGATCACCCGCAATTATCATACAATAATCGTCAGGTGTATGGGCACCTATACTCTCCTCTCCTGAAATACTCTGCTGGAGGACTCTGCTCCTTCCTCTATAACTCTCCTCTCCTGAAATACTCTGCTCTGCTGGAGGACTCTGCTCCTTCCTCTATAACTCTCCTCTCCTGAAATACTCTGCTCTGCTGGAGGACTCTGCTCCTTCCTCTATAACTCTCCTCTCCTGAAATACTCTGCTCTGCTGGAGGACTCTGCTCCTTCCTTTATATAACTCTCCTCTCCTGAAATACTCTGCTGGAGGACTCTGCTCCTTCCTTTATATAACTCTCCTCTCCTGAAATACTCTGCTGGAGGACTCTGCTCCTTCCTCTATATAACTCTCCTCTCCTGAAATACTCTGCACTGCTGGAGGACTCTGCTCCTTCCTCTATAACTCTCCTCTCCTGAAATACTCTGCTGGAGGACTCTGCTCCTTCCTCTATAACTCTCCTCTCCAGGAATACTCTAGTTGCTTTGTATTGGACCCCGGGGTCCGGGTATCACGATTGCTGGTCTTTTTGTTGGACATAACTGGGAGAGTTTTAGCTCAGAGAACAGACGACGTGTCGGAATAAACATACTCTGTAAACACGGCTTTGTTTTCACTCTGGCTGTGTTTGTGGAACATATTTGCCATGCAGTGTTTGTTCCAAGTGTGAAATTATAAACTGACAGAAAATCTGGAACGCGATCACGCTCCGCGAGACGAGGCTTCTGCTCCACAAGAGCACCGGAATGAAAACCAGCCACAAACATGGCTTTCACTTAGGGGTCTATTTTTATATGTTTTCACCCAAGATTCCCACAATGTTCACTGAAGATTCATACAACTGTCGCCCGGGACTCTAACTGGAAACACGTGCACATCCTGGGTGAGAAAAAATGTATGAATCTTGGGTGAAAACATTAATAAATTGACATTTTGTGGGCTCAAAGTTCAGGTTCTGTTACCTTTACTAAATAAAGAAAAACAAAAAGCAATTAAAGGAGAACTATGAGGCGAGTGAAAATCACTCACCTCATAGTTCTAGCCGACCTGTGACAATGTAACTGTCACACGTCGGCTCAATAGATCGGGAAGTGAGAGAACACATACCGGCGCTCGCTCACTTCTCGATCATCTCCCTACAGAGAGCCGTGACTGTCACTCACGGTTCCCTGCAGGGATTCCCCCCCTCCCCTCTCCGATCCGCCAGCGCTGACTGGAGGAACGGACGGGGGCGGGTACAGCTGGCTCTGCCTCTAGATAGGCAGAGGCAGCTGTCACTCACGCAGCTGGGTGGATCCAGACAGTAATGTCGGGGTCTGTCCCGGCTGCGGCGGTCTCATTATATAATGAGCTGTAGCTCGCGGTATACTGAGCTTTGGGTGATGGGAGGACGCTAGTTTATGTCCTCCCGTTACCCTTAGGAGAACTATGGGGAAAAGCCCTGACACCATAGTTCTCCTTTAAGGCAGTTATGTTGCCATTCAAAGACGAACTCCAGGCAAATATAAAAGTCACAAATAATGAAATTCTGTTCTCATGGATACATCATTTAAAGTGTTGTTTTTAAATGTAAGCAGTGTAACTGTCTGAATTCGACCTGGTACCAGCCTCTTACATTCCGTGTACAGCAGAGCTCGGACTGGGACATGGAGAGGTAGGACAAGGAGCCAATCAGTTGCGATGCAGTCCTCAGGTGCATGCTGATAGGAGGAGAAAGCAGAGTAACACAGAGATAAGCTCATCAGCCTGCTGCTTCTCTGTCTATTACCTGCCTGGGGGAAGGACCAGACCTGTAAGTGTTTCTGGCCTGCAGCAGAGAAAATCAGGTCTACTGTCCTGCCAGGCAGAGTTGTGCTCTGCAGTGGGGCTATACAGCAGAAATACAAATCCTTTGGCAGGCAAAACATCTCCTGCATATGTGTTTCAGCTGTGAATTAAGAGTTCTGTCTGAAAATGTTCAGCTAAAAATAAATACTTTCTAGGCTAAAAAAAAAAGAATAATAAATTAAATTAAAATAAACTGGCTTGGCACACTAGCACACAAGTCATACATAGGCGGGGAGGATGGAGAGGGGGGGATTAATGTGCGGAACACACCCTGCGGGAGGATGGGGAGGAGGGGATTAATGTGCGGGACACATCCTGCGGGAGGATGGAGAGGAGGGGATTAATGTGCGGGACACATCCTGCGGGAGGATGGAGAGGAGGGGATTAATGTGCGGGACACATCGGGATTAATGTGCGGGACACATCCTGCGGGAGGATGGAGAGGAGGGGATTAATGTGCGGGACACATCCTGCGGGGAGGATGGAACGGAGGGGATTAATGTGCGGGACACATCCTGCGGGGAGGATGGAACGGAGGGGATTAATGTGCGGGACACATCCTGCGGGAGGACGGAATGGAGGGGATTAATGTGCGGGACACATCCTGCGGGAGGACGGAATGGAGGGGATTATAATGAGCAGGACACATAGTGTGGGAGGCTGGGCAGGAGGGGGTTAATGAGCAGAACAAACAAGTAAAGAAATTAGTAGACCAGCAATACAGAGACAGGATGGAGCTGAAATGTATAAGGAAGGCTTGGCACACTAGCATACAGGTCGTACATAGGCGGGGTGGACCCCGAGTTCACTGACATTTAATTAGAACTTACAGCACAAATATTCCCGCTATGTAGGATGGAGATTGGCTGAGCATTCGCCATCTCTGAACCTGACCTCACACTTCCCTGTCCCATAATCAGAACATAGCTGTGAAAATTCACACCAGGCCCACGAAGGGCGACTCAACCCCCTGACGTCTCTACAACCTGTACAGCTCTGGGGACTTTATCAGGAAGTCCTACTGCAATATGAAGTGTTTGTAAACCCCCATAATGGACTTCTTTTTATTGCACCCTTTGGCCTGTTAAAGGAGAACTCCAGGGAAAAATATTAACCCTTGCAGTGGCGCTTCTCCTGCACGGCAAAAGTTGCACTAACCAGAACCTCAAAACCGGATGGCGGTCACAGTGCTCCCTCAAGCGTCCCTCGGCATCCTCACATCCTAAACAATGTGTATTGAAAGTGATAACTCGGGGACCTTAGACCGCTGCAGTGGAAGGGGGCGAGGTGGAAGGGACTGGTCTAAGGGCACGCGGCTCTGAGATTCGTGTAAGTAGACCTACTTTTTTTTCTACACCTACTGCTATAAGAGAGAGTTCATCCCTACCGAGGACCAGACTGAGCACGCCTACTGCTATAAGAGAGAGCTCATCCCTACCGAAGACCAGACTGAGCACACCTACTGCTATAAGAGGGAGCTAATCCCTACCAAAGACCTGACTGAGCACACCTACTGCTTTAAGAGAGAGCTCATTCCTACTGAAGACCAGACTGAGCACACCTACTGCTATAAGAGAGCGCTCATCCCTACAGAAGACCTGACTGAGCACGCCTACTGCTATAAGAGAGAGCTCATCCCTACCGAAGACCTGACTGAGCACACCTACTGCTATAAGAGGGAGCTCATCCCTACCGAAGACCAAACTGAGCACACCTACTGCTATAAGAGGGAGCTAATCCCTACCAAAGACCTGACTGAGCACACCTACTGCTTTAAGAGAGAGCTCATTCCTACTGAAGACCAGACTGAGCACACCTACTGCTATAAGAGAGCGCTCATCCCTACAGAAGACCTGACTGAGCACACCTACTGCTATAAGAGGGAGCTCATCCCTACCGAAGACCAAACTGAGCACACCTACTGCTATAAGAGGGAGCTAATCCCTACCAAAGACCTGACTGAGCACACCTACTGCTTTAAGAGAGAGCTCATCCCTACCAAGGACCCGACTGAGCACACCTACTGCTATAAGAGGGAGCTAATCCCTACCAAAGACCTGACTGAGCACACCTACTGCTATAAGAGAGAGCTCATTCCTACCGAAGACCAGACTGAGCACACCTACTGCTATAAGAGAGCGCTCATCCCTACAGAAGACCTGACTGAGCACACCTACTGCTATAAGAGGGAGCTCATCCCTACCGAAGACCAAACTGAGCACACCTACTGCTATAAGAGGGAGCTAATCCCTACCAAAGACCTGACTGAGCACACCTACTGCTTTAAGAGAGAGCTCATCCCTACCAAGGACCCGACTGAGCACACCTACTGCTATAAGAGGGAGCTAATCCCTACCAAAGACCTGACTGAGCACACCTACTGCTTTAAGAGAGCGCTCATCCCTACCGAGGACCTGACTGAGCACACCTACTGCTATAAGAGGGAGCTAATCCCTACCGAAGACCTTACTGAGCACACCTACTGCTATAAGAGAGAGCTTATCCCTACTGAGGACCAGACTGAGCACACCTACTGCTATAAGAGAGAGCTTATCCCTACCAAAGAGTATAAACTTTGTTATGATTGTAGAATGTTTAAAACAAGAACTCCGGGATTTTAAAAAAATGAACCCTTGCAGTGGGGACACCTCAGCACTAAGTGCTCGCTTTGGACTAGGGGTGAAAATAGAAAAAGAATGTGTTTTTTTTTCTGTTCAGCCCCAAACCAGAGCAGTATACAGTATACTCAGCCCTCATTAAATACTCATTGTACTTTCCCTTTAAAGCAGATGGTGGGTATTAGTAATGGCCTCTAGTCTCTGGAGTCTTCTTCCTCTCTCCTGTAATCTGGGGTCGGATATCTCCATGTTACTCCATGTGCAGAGTGCTCAGTACTCTCCGGGGAACGCAGATATTGCTCTCAGGCTTTCACCGCCTTGCTCTGTATTGTCCAGGAGTTTGGCAGCACATTAGAGAAGGGGCGTGTGGACAACGCTCAGTACAAAGCCAATTCCTAATATTGGGATACATGCAGCGGACACCGGGATCTACAAATGCCGATCACAGCTTGGTTCCTGTATCTTTACTGCTACCCTCACCCAGCCTGTCAGACCAGATACATCATTACTGCAGATTCTTACAATAATAAACATCCTATATCGCAGGCTATCCTCAGTCACCCTTCATAGCAGAGCCCTACCATCCCAAATTACGAGGTACCACGAGGAATCCAGAAGGCACCAAAGGGTGCCCCGGCACACTGGTTTAGAAAGGCTGCACTATACAGTATAACCGTACAATCTCCCTTTGCTCGACCAATAACCAATGCCATGCAAGGGTCTGCCGGACTGATTTGACATAGTTATGGTAGATCTTACGGAACTTGTACAAAGATTGTATCATGTACAGTGAGCTTGAACGAGCTTGTACACTCCGGTGGTAACATGTATGGCCGGTTCTTAGTTTCCCAACCAGGTCTCCTCTGGTGGAAGTGATGACACATCTAGAAACCTCTCACCTGTTCAGGAAGGCGTTCCCAAAAGCATTCAATTTTCGGAACGGTTTCTTGGGGTCCACCACTAGCGCGTTGCCTGGGATGACCCCCTCGACGTCGCCCTGCATTACTGCTATAAAGGAGTCTGTGGTGGGTTCCGGTCCTATCCTCATCCCTGGAAAGTCCTGTTCTAGAAGATACCTGAGAAGACAGAAAGGACACATTCAAACGTTAATATCCAGCCCACCTAGAGATCCGAACCATACATCAAACGGTCTAGAACAGGGGCGGGCAACTCCAGCTGTGCTTTAACTGCAAATCCCATCATGCCTGCAAGTCATACCTGTAACTGCCAGTCTTGCAATGCCTCATGGGACCTGTAGTTCCACAACAGCTGGAGGGCCTGAGTTGCCAACCCCTGATCTAGAGGACAACAGCATAGCAATCCAAAAACGTTGTGTTGGTTTAGAAACAATTACTGATTGTTAGATACGTCTAAGTATTTGCTGCTGATTTTGGAAATACATCTGATGGAGGAACCCCCGAGGTGCAGAAAGCTCGCAATGGACAGATTTGTAATTAGCCGATTACCTTTATAATCATTTTTATTAATCTTCTTACCACCTAATAAAGATTTCCATGTATAAGAAGTGTCTGCCTGCAGGTTAAATCTTGAAGTAGAACTAAAGCCAAAACTTTTTCTTCATTTTGGATAGAGTAATGGAGGGTTATAACCCCTCTCAGCTCCCATTAATCTGTGTCCAATTAGAAAGATTTCTCTTCACTTCCTGTCCAAGAGCCACAACAGGAAGTGAGAGGAAATCCCTCAGGGGTAGTTCACATCAGATGCAGTTGTGACGGAGTTAGTTCAGTTTGGCAGCTGCATCAAAATCGCGTCACAATGCTTTCCTATGGGCTCTCTGGTGCTCTGTTTAAACCAGTGCAGTCCGTTCCGATGCAGTCAGAAAAAATCCTGCGCATTGTAGCTGCACCTGATCACAACGGAACACATGCAAATGCACTGGACTGCACCTGGAAAGCCCATTTTAAGCTAAAAATAAAAAAAATGCGTCAAACTTCATTGCACCGCAGCTGCGCAGACGCACTCAGTTCTGATGCAGTTACAGTGTGAACTAGCCCCCAAAAGGGGGAAATCCCTGCTGGTCAGCAGTGTCACCAGAACTAGTGTCCTCATTAGAAGATTTCCCATCTGTTCCTCTTCTGATGACAACTCAAGATTCGGGATTTTCTTTCACTTTCAGTTATAAAGGTCACCAGGACAATAGAGGGAGTGAATCTCAATAATGGGGGCACAGACAGCAATAGAAACCTGGCAGGAGTGCTAATCCCTCTCTGCTCCATCCAACACTAAAAAAAAAGTAGAAAAAAAGGCTTTGCTTCAGTTGCGCGCGCTCTCTCTCTCTATAATTTCACTCAGCGCTGTGAATACACACTTCCTGGTGTCACCACTCTCACAGAGCTGCCTTCTGGACTACAACCCAACGTCTGAACAATGTGACATTATCACTGCTTGCTGGAAGCAATGCATGATGGAATATGTAATCTTGAGAAATGGAGAGTACATCACATCAAGCAGCAGGGAAAGAGACGCAAAGCACCCTGGGAATCCAGGAAGTTGGTGGAAGTGATGGGCAGATGGAAGGCAGCACTCACTATATAAAAAGGGATTGTTTCCAGTAAGCTTTGATTGTATTATCAGAAACAACTCTAATATGTATTCCTATTACACTGCTGATGTCATAACAGGAGAGTGCAAGCTGGGACTTTACAGCTCATTCAAATGTTCAGATTGGAGGGGCGCGCACCTTTCGTTTTGCTTGTCCAAGCTGCCGGGTTCCAGGGGCCACAGCAACAAACTGACACTGAACAGAGGAAAATTCATCCATCTACATGTGGAAAACGCAGAAGATAAAATTCCATCGCAGGGCCCTCCGAAATACCGGGAAGGTGTCAAATATGTAAAGCATTCCGGGCGTATAGGGTCTGCGATATTTATGATGTACGAGAGGACGAATGTGAGTGTATGGAAAATACATATTCTTACAGCGGAACTCTGGGCAAATATGATACAAAACCACCTTGTTACATATTCATTAAACAAATATCAATAACTATATCTTATAACCTGCCTGAAACTATCTTCATATTCCCCCAATCCCCTGCACAGCGGGCCAAGCCTGGGAGAGACAACACAATGACACAACTGCAATTTGCTGTGCAGAGGTCTTACTTTCTGGCATTGCCAGATCTAAAGATGATCGGTTTACTAACATGGTAGTGCACCCTAGAACCCCTGAAGTGAGATTATATTCCAGGGTAATTTATGGATGAGAATAAGAGTTTAAAAAGGGAAGAAGTGAAGAAGCAGAGCAGAAGGGAAAAAGCAGAGAAGAGGACGAGAAGAGCAGAAGGGGAAACGCAGAGAAGAGGACGAGAAGAGCAGAAGGGGAAACGCAGAGAAGAGGACGAGAAGAGCAGAAGGGAAAAAGCAGAGCAGAGGACGAGAAGAGCAGAAGGGAAAAAGCAGAGAAGAGGACGAGAAGAGCAGAGGGGAAAAAGCAGAGCAGAAGGAAAGAAGAGAAGGAGCAGAAGGGAAGAAGAAAAGAAGCAGAACAAAAGCAAGAAGAGAAGACAAGAAGAAGCAAATAAAAAACAAAGACAGGTAGAAGCAGAGAAGGGAAGAAGAGAAGGAGAAGAAGGAGAAGAAGAAGAAGAAGAAGAAGAAGAAGGAGAAGGAGAAGGAGAAGGAGAAGGAGAAGGAGAAGGAGGAGAAGAAGAAAAGAAGCAGAGAAGGGAAAAAAAAAGAGAAGAAGCAAGGAAGGGAAGAAGCGAAGCAGAGAAGAAGAGAAGGAGAAGAAGGGAAGAAGCAAGGAAGGGAATAAGAGAAGGAGAAGAAGGGAAGAAGCAAGGAAGGGAAGAAGAGAAGGAGAAGACGAGAAGAAGCAGAGAAGAAGAGAAGGAGAAGAAGGGAAGAAGAGAAGAAGCAAGGAAGGGAAGAAGAGAAGGAGAAGATGAGAAGAAGCAGAGAAGAAGAGAAGGAGAAGAAGGGAAGAAGAGAAGAAGCAAGGAAGGGAAGATGCAGAGAAGAAGAGAAGGAAAAAGAGACAGCGAGTAATAAATACAGTAACTGTCTGCCATTACATTTAGATCTGTATGACCAATATATCAGATATTGAGATATCATCCTATGAAGACTCTTCAGAATCCGACACTTCCTGAAGAGTCAATTTGTTGACTCTCTCAGTGGTTCTTCCGACCCAAATATCACTACAGGCCAGTAGACTGAACCACTGAGTCCAGTGGGAGAACAAGGAATCTGAATATTCTGAATAAATTTCGGGTGTTGGTTTCTCTTGATTTCTTCTTCTAAGCCCCTGTACAGCAGCACTAGGACTGGGAGAGGGAAGAACAGCACTTGGTGCCAATCAGGTGCCCTGTGTTCACAAAAACACACCATCAAGAAGCCAAAGGCAGAGTCCTGATACGGGTGTTCCTGCATGCGCCTGACTTGGCTCATAGGGTCGTGGCCGGCCATGGGCCTCTGTACAGACACGTTCACGCGTTTGTTCCAGCGCGTGCGCTGACTTGCAGGCCCACATAATGCAAATTCTGGCGCCCTACAAGATATTTAGGCCTCTGGTGCTGAGTGAACCTGAACTTCCTTCCCATGTGTCCTGATTGTTCATCAGTTACTGACCCGGCTTGTTTGACCGTCTTCTTGCTACTCTGTATTACTGTGGCCCTCGCTTGTTCATAGACCGTCACTCCTGCCTGCTGCTTTGTACCTCCCTGCCGCAAGTTACCGACCCCGGCTTGTTCCTATTTGCTCACGTTGGCCACCTGGTACTGCTCTGCTCGCCTGCTGACAACACGGCTAGTTCTGACTTCGGCTCTTCTGGAATTCTGCTTCCTAGTTTTCCTCTCCTGTGCCTGCTTCCTGCCCAGTACCCGTTGGCAATGCAAAGACTGACCTTCTCTGCCACAATGATGTCCTACAGTGCCACTGCGTGTCCCTGCACACCTGTTCAGGCATCCAGGGGCTCTGGGACTGGATCGGCAAGGGAGGCCGCCCTTATCACCTCAGACTCCACCATGGTACGTGACACACAGACAGGAGGAAGGATCAAAGAGATGACTTCATCAGTCAGCTGCTGCTCCTTCACTGTCTAAGCACAGGCTGCTGGCAGAAAGGTGATCTGGCTGTTTTGCTTTACTGCAGCAGAGAAAAGTCCGGTCACGGGGCTGGATGTTCTGTGTGAATCTCAGCACTGGATGGACAGGAATAATAATTTGACAGCTCCCATACATGTCACTCATGTTTGTATTTAGAGGTTTGTTCCACATTGAGAGCTCTTGAGGTGCTGCACCAGCAGAAGTATTTGATTAATAAAAATGGAACGCGGGGAGACACGATGCGGATCAGCAGGAACAGAGGAAAACAAAAAGGAAAATGAGTCGGGCAGGCGAGAGTTAATGATTACAGTGTTCCGGACAGCCGTACCCCGAGGAGCCATTATTTTGGCAAAAAAGAATGTTCTATGTTTTCAGAAACTGACTGCAGGACTCCTCCTCCATCTATTCTTCTGGGAAAACAAGAACCGGCTCCAGGAATGAACTATTCCAGGCAGCCATTGTCTTACGGAGGGAATATCTGGGAGGTGAAAGGAAGGACCTGCGATCCTTAAAGTGAACCTCCCAGTAACCTGACATGTCTGCAAGAATATATTCCTAACATGTCACAATGTACAGGAACATTTTCAGACAAGCTCCACCTTCTATCATGTAAGTGAGCGACAGTCCAGTGACTTGGCCTGGGCTGAGATGATGTCATCAGTCTGCTGCAGGCAGGAGGAAGCATTTCCTCAGTCTCTCCCTCTGTGATCAGACTGCAACATTGTAACAAGTCAGAAGGTGAGAGGCTGCAGCAGGGGCTGATCTGTGTCAGACATTTTGAATACAGCCAAAAACTGCACAAGCGTCAAGATTTACATGATTCCATGACATTCCTGAGAGAGGTGGAAAGAGAGAGAGAGGGGGTGAGAGAGGGAAAGAAAGAGAGGGAGTGTGTGTGAGAGAAAACAGAAAGAACACCCCTTTCCTCGTCTCCATAACATAGGGGGAGGAGTGTTGTAGTCTACAGAAGAAAGCTGGGAAGGCGGATCATGTGTGAGATTTCAGTT